GCTCTTGGATAGGGAGCATGTAGGATCCAATAGTTCACATAAGGTCTCTGTGACCCATGAGTGCTGCAGGAGATACGCTGCATCACCTTCCCTCTAAAATTAAATCTTGGTTTAAACTTATTAAGCTTGCCTTAAAATTCAGTTCTTTTACAGTGCCCCTTCCATTTTCTGTTCTGTCCCAAGGTGCCATTACAAACCCCTGAAGTTGTTTTTGACCATCTGGTGCACCCTTCTTAGATAGTTTCCAATCATCCTGTTCAGAGATATTAATGACACACCTCTGGAGCAGGTGGAACTTGAACCTGGGCCTCCTGACTCAGAGACAGGGACAATACCACTGCACCACAACAGCCCCTTCTGTTTGTCATTGCCTCCACTTAGTATAAAGTTGCCTTGGTCCTACCAGAACACAGACTGCTCTCTTATGAGAGAGACACCAAGTGGTGGTTTAACCTGAGGGGCACCACGCCTCAGGTGAGGGGAGACGTTGAGAAGGAGAGTCCTTCATGGTGACCTCAGGCAGTGCGAGAATTGAACCAACACTGTTGATATTACACTGTATTGCAGGCCAACTGAGCGAACCAACCCCTTACTGTGTGTTTTCTCCTTTATTTGTCATATACTCAGACTTTGTGCACAGCCGAGCGACCTTCCCAAAATCACTGTGACTTCTTTTTGCATTTTTTTCTTTTTTTAAAACTACTATCCAGTAATCACCCATGTGGCCAATTAAATATTTACAAGGACCCCTACTGTGTCCCTGCCTAAGTTAATTCGTTTATTGGGCTCATGTGATTTACTGATTTGTAAAAGAATGTAAAGTGTGTCATTGTTGGGTCTACTTGTGGCACAGTGGTAATGTCTCTATCCCTGGCCTGGGTTCAGATCCCATCTGCTCCAGAGGTGTGTAGTAACGTCTCTGAACAGGTCGATTAGGAAAAATAGGTTTAAAATAAAAAGAACAGATTGATAAGGGGAAAAATAGATTAAAGTAAAAATAATTCTGTACAAGGCCCTCTTGAGGTGCAGTGGTAGTGTCCCTATCCTTGGACCAAAAGGCCCCAGGTTCAAGTTTCACTTGATCCAGAGGTGTGTAATAACATCTCTGAACTGGTTGATAGGAAAAATAGTTTAATAAATTAAAAAGGAGTCATTTATTGGGTCCTGTTGTGGCGCAGTGGAAGTGTTCCTATCCCTGGACAGGGGGCCTTGGTTCAATTTCCATCTGCTTTAGAGATATGTAATAACATTTCTGAACAGATTGATTAGAAAAATAGGTTAAATGGATAAAACTAAAGAAAATCATTTGGTGATGGACAAGTAGTCTGGTTGTGTGTAATAGCACTTTCAGATATATATAAAAAACAGTCATTATTCTTCAAGGGGCTGTTTGAATGTCAATTTAGCTTATTTTGTCAGTTACACAAAACAATATAAACAAAAACCGTGGTGTGGTTGAGTAAGGAGGTATATAGTTGTAATATTTCACTCTGTTTATAAATCTTTGACTGAGCAAAGATTCATTCCAGGATCATCCTTCAGCTGATTTTCTCAAACACATGGCACTGCAGTCTTGTTTATAATGGCCTCACTTCCCTGAAGGGCATTTGTGAAACAGTTGGGATCTACAACAATCCTGCCATGTCTCTTGATCATTTTCTAGGGGGTACCTAATCGTTTCCAATTTTGAACCAGATTGCAAAACGTTGACTGTTTCCTTGGCTGACATAGAGTACTGTGATGTTGTAACAGTTGGCTAGGTGGAACCAGTAAACTGCAAGGTAAAATAATCCAGGACTGACCACCCTAATGTTTTTAAGGTCTGGGGGACATTATTAGCACAGTTAGGTTGAGGTTCTGGCTGCGATCGAAGTTGTTGGGTTTATGAGAAGTTTAATGGCTGCTTTTTCACAAGGTAGCTCAGGACATCAACTGACATGAGTGCTGTAGCATGGGAAAGACATACAGAAGATTGGCCCTTGGCCCCAGACCACCCACTCACATTTAAAGGGCTGTAGCAAATGAGACAGAATCCAGGAAGATCCTCTCACCTTCCACTTCCCTAAATCAGGCTCTGAACCTCTTCGGTCGCTGAAGTTTTGGGATTCAGTTCTTTTACGAAACTTTTTTTTTAACTAAGCTGAACTCTTCTCTGATATCAGTGATTTTAATGGGAACCATTGATTTGCAGAGAAAGATTTTGTACTGGGAATGGTTCAGTCAGCTCTAGCAAGCAGTCACCCTGAATGCCAACAAAAAGCTGAAGGTAGAGAAGGCCAAGAAAGACAGCAAGTTGATTACGATCCTACAACCTCAAGCTTTAAAAGGTCCACTTTGAACAGGAGAAAACATAACAGGTATCGTGTATTTTGTCACTGCCTATTAATCTAGTTGGAGCAACAGTCATTATAATATTCTAATACTCTTCAACTTACTTTAATATTCAAAATTTATAATTATTTCATATTGAAGCTAGATTGCATGTGCGGCAGTATGTTCAATTGCTCACACACCTTATAGTTTGTATGGGTGCTTCATTCGGCTGTAAATGTGTAAGTGTCAGGTGTAAGGGTTCTTAAAAAAAGTCAAACCAGAGTTAACTCTGTTTCTCTCTCCACAGATGCTACCGGACCTGCTGAGTTTCTCTGTTTGTTTAAGATTTCCAGCAACTGCACTATTTTGCCTTTATTCAGAAATAACTTGTGTTTGGGATTTTGGAAGGTTAGGAATTATTTCAATCAGAAGATAAAAAAAAATTGCTCAGCTTTTAGAGCCCAATGAGAGAGTCATCATGGGGGTCAAGACATTGCTGGCAAGGGCAACATTTATTGTCTTGCATTAACTGCCTGTGAGAACATAGTATTGAGCTGCCTTCTTGTACAACTGCAGTCAGATATGCTCACAGTGCTGTTAGGGAGGGAATTCCAGGATTTGGACCCAGCGACAGTGAAGGAAGGGTGATGTATTTCCATGATGGTGTGTGATTTGGAGATCTTCCTTCTGCCTGCTGTTCCTGTTCTTCTAGACAGTAAAGAAGTCATGGATTTGATATTGCTGTGGAGAGAGTAGGAAATCCTGCCAAAGGGAATAATCTGGCCTGATATGACTTGTATGTATACATTTTCCCTTAACTTTCCCTTTCAAACTTTAGCTTTTCAATTTGTTGACTTGTGCTTCAGGCATATAATGAAATGTGAATGTCATTGCTGGTCTTTGAGTAGATTCCTTTACTCAGAGAGTGGTGACAATGTAGAATTTTCTACTGCATAGTTTAAAGATTCATGCAATATAGAAAAGGCCCTTCAGCCCATCAAATCTGTACCACCATAAATAGACTAAACCTGAACTAATCCCACGTTCCTGCACTAGGCCAATAGCCTTGAATATTATGACCATTCAAGTGCTCATCCAAGTACTTTTTCAAGATTGCGAGGTTACCCAGCTCAACCAGCCTACCAAGCAGTGCATTCCAGACCCTCACTATCCTCTGGGTGAAAAATGTTTTCCTCAAATCCTCTCGAAAGCTCCTGCCTTTCAGCTTAAAAGTGTGCTCTCTTGCTATTGACCCTTCAACTAAGGGGAACAACTGCTTTTTATCCACCCTGTCCAGGCCCCTCATAATTTTATACACCTCTATCAAGTTCCGCACCCTCCCTTAACCTTCTCTGCTCCAAAGAAAAGAAGCTGATCTTAACAAGCCTCTCTTCATTGCTGAAATGCTCCATCCCACTCAACATGCTGGTGAACCTGCTCTGCACCCCTTCCAGTGCAATCACATTCTTCCCAAAATGTGATGACCAGAACTACACACAATACTCAGTAGCTGGTGCGATGATTAGCAGAAATAAAATTGTAGGGAATCCAGATGAGTAGCTAGGAGGTCTTGTGGTGTCATCGCAGCAACCCTAATTCTGGGCCAGAAGTTCTGGGGTGAAAACCCCCTCCAGGAGTTGTTGAGTTGGAATGTGCATTAATAATGTGGTCAATCAGGAAAATCCTTCCAAATTGTCTGAAGGAAGAAATAAGGGTGGGAGAGTCTGCTGGTCAGTGATCCTACAGAAGACAATGGGGGTGAACTACTGCAGTACCTGTAAATGTGGACCAATCTAATGGCAGACTAGGTCCTAACCCTTGAAAAATGACGACAGGAGAGCAGAGAGAGAGTCATAGAGTTATGCAGCACGGAACCAGACCCTTCGGTCCAAGCCCACCAAGTTTCCCAAACTGACCTAGTCCCACATACCTGCATTGGCCCATATCCCTCTAAACCTTTCCTATTCTTGTACCTGTCCAAATGTCTTTTAAACGTTATAACTGTACCTGCATCTACCACTTCCTCTGGCAGCTCATTCCACATACAAACCACCCTCTGGGTGAAAAGGTTGCCCCTCAGGTCACTTTTAAATCTTTCCTCTCTCATCTTAAAACTATGCCCTCTAGTTTTGAACTCCCCTACCCTAGGAAAAACACCTTTGCTATTCACTTTATCAATGCCTCTCACAATTTTATAAACCTCTATAAGGTCACCCTGAGTCTCCTATACTCCAGTGAAAAGTCCCAGTGTATCCAACCTCTCCTTGTATCTCAAACCCTCCAGTCCACATAACATCCTTGTAAATCTTTTCTACACCATACAATTTAATAATATCCTTCTTACATGGCAGCCGGAACTGTACTCAGTGTTTCAAAACTGGCCTCACCAATGTCCTGTAACATGATGTCCAAACTCCTATACACAGTGGTCTGAGCAATGAAGGCAAGCATGCTAAATGCCTTCTTAACCACCCTGTCTATCTGTGATACAACTTTTATAGAATTATGTACCTGAACCCCTAGGTCTCTCTGTTCAACAACACACCCCAGGGCCCTATCACTACTGAATAAGACCTGACCTTGTTTGTTTTAACAAAATGCAACACCTCACATTTATCCAAATTAAACTCCATCTGCCACTCCTCAGCCCATTGGCACAATTGATCAAGATCTCCTTGTAATCTTAGGTAACCTTCCTCACTGTCCACTATATCACCAGTCTTGCTGTCACCAGTAAACTTATTAACTGGGCAGAAAAGGATATGCTGCTAGATTAAGAAAAGACGAGGTCTGCGAGGGATAATAATACACCTATAATGGCCAAATGGTCTGTTCTGTGCTATGAAACATTATATAACTCTATATTACAGTGATATTTTGAATCAATTCATGTTATAATTTTCAAATCCTCTCTATGGGCTTTGTCTTTCAATGGCCAGAGAGTTTTTTTCTGAAGTGTAGATGGGCATTGCACATGGGGACCCTGCAGGAAATTGAAGATTCCACAAACCTTCACCCCTCCCCAGTTGTTCACCTAACAACAGCCCCACCCATCCTGGAGCTTGACCCCTCAACCCTCAGGGTGTGACACACCTCCCTGCCACTGGACCTGACCCACCTTTCCACACTGTCAAATTCAATTCCCCACAAACCCCTTCCTTGTGACTCAACTTCTCTTAAGACCTGATGGCACTATTTTCCCATCCACTGCTGGACCTGATATCTCCCAGCTGCCTCGAACTACCCTAAACACTCCATCATTCATCTGCCTCCTTAGCACCTTCCCCACTGGCATCCTACCTTCCTGGCACCTTCTCCACTACCCACTAGGCACCTTACTATCAAGCATCCTACCCCTGGCACCCTATCTACAGTTTGCACCACCTTACCCATCTAGCAGCCTACTTGCTTACCACCGTATCCTCCTCCTAACCTGGCATCCTTCACTCCAGGTGCCCAGCTTCACACTTACCTTTCGTACTTACACTTTGCCAGCAGCTGTCAAAGTGATTCTCTGTCGTGCTGAACTTTTAACATACACAAATGTGGCTGACTAGTGTGAGAAAAGGGGCATATTTTGTCTTCCTCTTACAGTATGAGGGACCCGCTGGAAAAGAAGTATGGTTCCGCGTTTCTAAAGGAGCCTTGATGGGAATATTCAACTCTTCCATCATGTTAGAAAAGTGTGAAGAGGCAATCTAGGTGTGATTGCAACTCCTTAGAAAATCCAGTCCAATTGTATTTAGATGACCTTCTATGTTTGCACTTTCAAGCTCACACAGTGTGACCTTGGATAGTTACCTTGTCCATCTGTTCCGTTGCCACAAGCCCTCACCCCTGCCCTCTGAACGTCAAACCACACGACTCCACGCCTCTTTTCCCTGGTTTCTGTGTAAATAGCACAACCAGGATCTGGGTGCCTTTGACAGAAGAGGGTTGGAAACCATGTTAGTAAAAAGTAATGAACATTTCTCAAGTATTCACAAAGATGTCCTTTAGCAACTCTCCATTAGAACATCTTTCCCTCAGGTCACAGTTCTGAGATCTGACAACACTGATGATGTATTTTAGCTAGTAGCATGACCACCTTTAATCTTTTATGTACCCTTTCTAAGGCTTCATAACATCTATCTCCTTGACCATCTTCCTCTCAAATCTCATGATCTCTTTTGTTGGTGCGCACATCTTCATCAATGCAAACTCCTAGGATTCCTTTTTCTATGACGAGTATCTATAACTTCCTCTTGCTGAAAACTCTCCTTGTTGGTTTGATGTAGGAAAGTGCAGGCTAAAAACTGGGAAGTGTTTGGGTCACAAATGCTAGGAACTCCCATGAGCTTATCAATGAATGTTCCCCAAGCCACCGCCAAGCTCACCTCCTCCCTTGTATCAACAGATAAACAAAGACACTTGACCATGTCGATTAAGAATCCAGAGAACTATTAACTTTTATCCTACAATGAATGCTGCAGCATTTTGACACCTAACATCTAATCTTTGTTGCTGTTTAATAGACTCTGTCTTGTGCTGTGTTCATTCAGGTATTACCTCAAAAAGAAGCCAGAAGTAATTGAAGAGGAGCAGCCAGGTGAGAGAGTTTGTTCTGATTTAATATGGTAAAAAGATGACAAATCAAGCATTCGATAATGATGACACAGCAGTTAAAACCCTCTGATCTAGACTCGAAACGTTAGCTTGCTCTCTCTCCACACCCCAGGGCCCTATCACTACTGAATAAGTCCTGATCTTGTTTGTTTTGACAAAATGCAACACCTCACATTTATCCAAATTAAACTCCATCTGCCACTCCTCAGCCCATTGGCACAATTGATCAAGATCTCCTTGTAATCTTAGGTAACCTTCCTCACTGTCCACTATATCACCAGTCTTGCTGTCACCAGTAAACTTATTAACTGTGCAAAAAAGGATATGCTGCTAGATTAAGAAGGAACGAGGTCTGCGAGGGATAATAATACACCTATAATGGCCAAATGGTCTGTTCTGTGCTATGAAACATTATATAATTCTATATTACAGTGATATTTTGAATCGATTCACGTTATAATTTTCAAATCCTCTCTATGGGCTTTATCTTTCAATGGCCAGAGAGTTTTTTTCTGAAGTGTAGATGAGCATTACACATGGGGACCCTGCAGGAAATTGAAGATTCCACAAACCTTCACCCCTCCCCCGCTGTTCACCTAACATCTCCACAGATGCTGCCTGACCCCCTGTGATTTCCAGCATTTTTTTTTTGTAGTGATCTACAGTATATCCAGGGACCCAGCAGGTGTAGAGTATACACAAGCACAGATGTTATTGTGTAGGAAGTAAATGAAATGTCAAATAGCCAGGAATATTTGTATCAGAAGGAAAATATAAGGGGTGCGTTTATTATAAGCGTTAGCACCATGTGGCACACATGCATTCTGTCACGACCTGACGTCATGGAAGTACTGGGAAAAAAATGGTGTTACCAGGTATTGAATGAACAACTGTGAGGGGCAGAGGGGAGTGGGAAATGTCCCTGGGTCTGAGGTGCTGCCGGATACTCAAATGAATTGATGGCTACAATGAGAAGAGGGAAGTTGTGACTGGATTTAACTCCTGCCCATTAATGCTCCCGGCCTGCCTCTATCCTGGCTCCTCGCGCTGTCGTTTGACCCACTCCAGCCTTCTTCTCACCTCCTTGTCAACAGTACATGGATCGATTACGACTGCATGTGGAACAAGATCAATGTATATACTGATGCTTCCTGCAGCCAAATAGTAACACTGGCCATACCCGCACATGTATGGCAACTCTCTTGCATTTGATACCATCACTGCAAAGTACAAGAGGTGCTTTTATGGTTTGTATCTTTTCTATGGTCTAGACTGTAACGATGGTGATTTCAGCATGGGAATACTTCACAGATGAGGTACTATATTCCTTCAAAAAAACAGTAATTGCTGGAAAAGCTCAGTAGATCTGGCAGTATCTGTGGAGAGAAATCAGAGCTAACATTTCGGATCCAGTGACCCTTCCTCAGAACTATCACTTTCCTAGTTGCCATCAGTTCTGAGAAAGGGTCACTGAATCCAAATGCTAACTCTGATTTCTCTCCACAAATGCTGCCAGACCTGCTGAGCTTTTTCCAGCAACTTCTGTTCTTGTTTCTGATGTCCAGCATCCGCAGTTCTTTGGGATTTTATTATATTCCTTGGTTACTTTAGCAGAAGCCTTACTCAAATGAATTGATGGCTACAATGAGAAGAGGGAAGTTGTGATGGATTTAACTCCTGCCCATTAATGTTGCCAAAAGAGATGGCAAGACTTAGACGAAACGTGGGTACATAGTCGGTTGGAGCACAGAATCAGTCTCTGGCTAACGCTCCTGAATACTGTCTTATTTAGGACACTTTGCTCCCGCTCAGAGGGGAAAAGACACAGGAAATGGCCCAATGTATCTTAAGGCGGACACACGAGCACAGAAGCCAGTATCCCATCATCAAGTCACCATTTATTTACAAGAGCATCATACTTGACATTGGTCTGGCTTCCCCAGAGCCAGCTGTCACAGTGAACAGAATCTCTGACATTCTTATTTAGATCTGTCAGCCAGGGCTCCCTGTTTGGACCAGATTAACAGCCCCAGTCAGGGAACTCATATTCTATGAGGGCCACCTGGCTGACCTTGCTCCAGTCAGTACAATCCCCATGCTACAGAAGGAAAAACCATAACATTTTAAAAGAGAGGTTGCACATGGAAGAATTGACCAAATTAATGAACCACTCATAGGAGTTAGTTGAATGATTTTCAGCAACACACGACAATAACTTTAATGCGGGAGACGGGGACCTGGGTTCAAATCCTGTCATGGCAGATGGTGGAATTTGAATTCAATAAAAAATGGAATAAGAGTCTAATTAGGGCTGTGAAACCATTGTCAGCTGTCTGAAAAATCCGTCTGGTTCACCCAATATCCCTTAGAGAATGAAATCTGCCATCCTTACCTGGTCCAGCCTACATGTGACTCCAGGATCATTGCAATGTGGTTGACTCTTAACTGCCCTCTGGACAATTAGGGATAAACAGTAAATCATGGCCTAGCCAGTGACGCCCATGTTCTATAAATATTTTATAAAATTGACTATTTAGAAGTGTTTGTTCACATGGAAAAATGTCCTGTGGAGCTTCACGAAGGATGAACGTATTGTGAGAGGCAGTTATTTGAAATGTGGTTTCAAATATTGTGGCAGCAAAAGAAATTTAAAAAAACCTCTCAACCGTGAACCCTGAAAGTATGGGTGGGTGGAAAATAGAAGCACTTTAGTTTAACAATAATGGAATTACCAGGAAAAGTTATTGAATCTCTAGTTAGTTAGGCTATGTAGCAGAATGCCATAGACTGAAGTACTCTCATTCTACAAACCAAGTGCCGTCTGTGGTGGGTAGTGTAGTGTATTTGAAAAGGTTGAATTCTTTGTGTAATGAAACAGAAATTGCTGGAGAATAACTTTAGAGCCTAATTCCATCTCTCCATGTCTTTTTTACGCATCTCACACCTGGTCCTGTTATGATTTGACTTGCTTTAGCACATTAACCCATTATAACTTTTTAACCCATTCCCACGTACTTCTAGGCTCATTATCACATATGGGTTACATTCAGCACAGCTCACCCATTTTCTCACTCTTAGCTCCTTCTATCTCCCATTTGGTTTTTCTTCTGTCATAGAATCTTAGAATCCCCACAGCATGGAAGCAGGCCATTCAGCCCGTTGGGTCCACACAAACCCTCCAAAAACCATCTCACCCAGACCCACACACCTACCCTATCCTTGTAACCCTGCATTTCCCATAACTAATCCGCCTGGCCTGCACATCCCTGGACACTATGGACAATTTAACACGGCCAATCCACCCTAAACTGCGTATCTTTGGACTGCGGGAGGAAACAGGAGCACCCAGAGGAAACCCACATAGACAATGGAGAGAATGTGCAAGCTCTATACACAGTTGCCTGAGCGTGGAATCAAACCTGAGTGCCTGGTGCTGTGAGGCAGCAGTGTTAATCATTGAGCCACTATGCCGCCAATCCTGACCTGCTATCCATTATCTACTTGTTTATCAACCCCTTTCACATCTCTCTCTCTCTGGGCTCCATCTCCATCTCTCTGCTCACCCACCAACACCTCTCCCCACCCCTGTTCAACCCCTTCACTGCTACCAGTCCTGATGAAGGGTCAAAGGACTTGAAACATTAACTCTGCTTTCTTCCCTCGGATGCTGCCAGACCTGCTGAGGATCTCTAGCAATTTCTGTTTTAGTTTCAAATCTCCAGCATCTGCAGTTCTTTGTTTCGTTTAGCTCTTTTTGTATTTGGTCCTGGTGGGGCTTTACAAAGCTTAATTGTAATTCTAGTCGATGCTGCAGACTGAACACTGAGAGCATTGTTAGCCAACTCTGAAGGAGCAAGCTGTTCTTTGTTGGATGAATCCTTTGAGCTAACCAGGCATGACTGGGAGGTAGTGCAACACAGAAAAGAAATGGTCAGCCACAGAATAAAATGAGGGGGAAGGGGTGGGAAATATCGCAAGAGGAATGGAAATAAAGGAAGGGAAAGATTGAGGAAAATTGTTAGTTTGTTTTTTTAACTTCCAGAACACAATGAAAATTTGTTACTTAATTGTCACTTTGAAACAGATGAAAAGCACATTTAGAGGGATTTTCACCCCAGGAGAGGGCAGGTTGGTAGATGGTATAAATTCTAAAACCTTAATGCAAACTGCTGGCAACACACCCACGTCTCATTTTAAAAAGAGGCAATTTGGGAGCCTTGCAGCTCACACACTTTCTGGAGGCTGGCATTTTTAAGGGAGGCTCCAGACTTGTGTTTTCACTCAATTTTAATTTTTATTTCATGGAGCTGGGATTTTTGATGCTCAGGAATTGCGGCCAGTAAAAATTGACAGAGAGAGCTAGAACCATAAGACAAATGCATTTTACAGCACTGCCTATAGGCTGGGTGGAGTAACACAGCTTCCTCCGAATCCAACAACTGAGCTGAGGTTTCAGTCCATGAAGTGGAGGGACAGATGGTGCTGTTAGGAAGGGAGTTCCAAGATTTTGACCCTGCAGCAGCGAAGGTACAGAAATAGGTTTCCAAGTCAGGATGGTGAATGACTTGGAGGCGAACTTGCAGAGCGGGGCATTCATAGATCATAGAATCTCTACAGTGTGGAAATAGGCCCTTCGGCCCAACAAGTCCACACTGACCCTTGGAGCATCCCACCCAGACCCATCCCCTGATAACCCACCTATTCTACACAATCCCCGAACACTACGGACGATTTAGCACGGCCAATCCACTCTAACCTGCACATCTTTGGACTGTGGGAGGAAACCGGAGCTCCCCGAGGAAATCTATGCAGATACGGGGAGAATGTGCAAACTCCACACAGACAGTCACCCGAGGGTGGAATCGAACCCGGGGCCCTGGCACTGTGAGGCAGCAGTGCTAACCACCCCAGGTGTTCTCCTGAGTCTGCTGCCCTTGTCCTTCCAAATGATAGAGGTCACAGGATTGTTGGAGAAACCTCGTTGACTGGCTGTGGTGCATTTTGTAGAAGGTCTGCCACCGCTCAGTGTCAGTAATGGAGGAGGTGAATGTTGAAAATGGTGGGTAGTGCAAATCAAGCGCGCTGCTTAATCCTGGATACTGTCAAACGTTTTGAATGTTGTAGTAGCAGCAATCATCCAGACAAATGGCAGATATTTGACCACAATCCCGATTTGTGCCTTGTAGTTGGTGGACATGTTTTTGGGAATCAGGAGGCGAGTTACTCAGCACAGAAAGTCTAGCCTCTGACCTGCTTTAGTAGCCATAGTACTTATGTGTCTGGTTCAGGGTCTGTTCCGTTTCTGGTCAATCATTATCCCCAGAATGCTGATAATGGGAGAAGTCAGCAACGGTAAAGCTACTGAATGTTAAGGAGTGATGGTAAATTCTGTCTTGTTAGAGGTGATCATTGCCTGGCACTTGTGTGCTGGATGAATATTACTGCCTAGCCATCTGTTCAGGCTGTTTCTGTTGACACATTTGCTAGATGGCCTCATTATGAATGACTAGCTGAGGTTGAGAACTGACTAATGCAGTCACCCCTGTAGACAATATTCTTAATCTAACAGGGAATGCAAGCTTTCTTTTATATTTTACCATGAGAATTTTCATAGTCTGTTTGCTTATTTTGTCAGCTTAAGAGTATCGTATAGACTATTCAGTGTTACTCTGGCTTGCTGGCTCTGCATACAGTGGGTATAGAGGATGTGTGAAGTATTGGAACAGCAAGGAATTAAGCAAGGAAGGTGTAGGGTGTTTGGTGAGGATATGATGGGGTACCAGCAAAACCTCTTAAACTAATGTGTCACCTGATTTCCCCCAGGTTTTACAAATGAATTTGCTTGTTGGTATTTCCATCGCCTTTAGGACCATATCTGACCTTGTTGGCTGGGGGTAGGAATACCTTGGGAAGAGAAACTTGAATTTCCAATAGGGGTTTAAGTTGCAAACCCAATGTCACTTTAGGAATGCAGCAGGTCAGACCCTGGGGAAAATGGCAGATGGCAAATTTTGGCCCAGCAACTTTGAAAACATGTTCCAGTCCAATATCTGCCTCCTGACATGTGACACTTCGAGAGGGGAAACTCAACCCAATGTCTCACCTTTTAAAGCCCAGTATTCCATGTACTTCACTATTTCATTGAGATGGTCTGGCACCTTCAAAGACTAGTGCACAAACACGTCCCAATAAATCTCTTCTTGCATTCCTTCTAAAATGGTACCATTAGTTTGAATCGTTTCTCTTCACTACTGTTATTACTTCACATTTCTCTGCTTTGTACGTCATCTCTCAGATCTCTGTTCCTTCCATCAATCTATTTCCCCTTGAAGTCCATTGCTATTTTCTTCGCTGCTTACTGCACTTCTGAGATTTGTGTCACCTCAACATTTCCAAACCATGCCAGCGGTGCTAGTACTGAACGCTCAGCATCATTACTGTACACCTCTCTCCAGAATGGAAATTCCATTCTCCACAACTCTTTACTAACCACGAGTCAATTTTGTACTTGTGCTGCCACTGCAATGTCCACCTAAGGGCTTCACAAGTCCAATATGTATCAGTTCCCTTCCTAAAGTCCATCAACACATAATTAACCCCACTGCTCTCAATGGCCTTCTCTGTTTTTTTAATCAATTAAGTTTGTAAAGCACAATTTCTTTCCCACAAAGAGGTGCCCGCTCTCCTTTAACTATCAGTCCATATGTTCCAAGTGGTCATAAAGTTTTTCCTGGTTCTTTCTTTCTAACATGTCCCCAACACAGGTGTTAAACTGACTGGCCTGTAACTTCCTTGTCCTTATGTGAATGAAGCAGGAGCGTTTGCAATCCTCCACAAGCTTGATGTCTAACAAGAACTGGAACATTGTGGAACTGCCATTTCAATGGGTGCTCCATTTTTTTTCAGAAAAAGACAGAATTTGTCATTGCATTGAACCCAATTGTATTTGCTTCTAATTACTGTCCAAATTGATAGTTTCTAGTCATAATTTATGATGATATCAGAATTGAGAGATGTTAATTGTTGCTGAACATGGGAGATACAGTGACTAATTATTACAGATACTGAAACAACTTTTCATGCTACAATTTAACATGTGGCTAGGTATGGGTTTGTATTGTTTTCAGTTAATCAAATTTAATCAGATGATTTTTATTTGTGAATTCTGTATACTTCAATTTAGATCACATTGGAAATGCCGAAGTCCTTCAAGTTCATCAAAGCAAGTCTTCCGAACCACCGAGTAATGGAAAACAGGGAGTCTCAGATCTGAACAGGATCACAGAATGTGAATGAAACAGTTCAGGATAAGTAAAATATATAAGTTTATCTGTCTGATTGGAGTCTAAATAGGAATATGTTTTTAAAAATTGTAATGGGATAAGATACTGTTAGGTTATTCTGCTAACAATTTTAAAGTTCAAGTCCTCAGGTTAAATTTAGCAGCTGCCTCAATATATTGTTAAACACTGTCCATTTACAGCTGGTCAAATGTATTACAAATCCAATGTCTGACAGTGTACATTGAATACAGTTAATCAGATTATACTTTCACTCGTTCTATCTCAGAGCTATAAACAGAACGTTTTTAACTTTTGGTTCATACAAATGCCTGGAAACTCTGTTTCATCATTTATGGATTGTATACATTTACAGCAACCATTATTTTCCAAGTAATAGTCTTAATTGATGAGAAATAGAAATTGATAAATGCAGGATTGGCAACTTGCAGTAAAGTTAAATCTCGTGTGCTAAAGTTAATCACGTCGCTGGACTTGTCTTTGCTAAAACCAGTTGTGTGAGACAGTCAATGATTTTTGTAAAAATTTGACAAGGATCTGTAGGATCTTGCTGTGCACCACATGACAGTTGTATTTCCTTCTGAGACATCAAAGCAAAAGCACTTCAAAAGCTGTGATGTGCTATCGGCTAACCTGACGTGAGAGAAGCAACATATGTACATCTCTCTCAATGAATATTGATCTTTATCTATTTCAACTGCTGTATAAGTTGTCCATACTTTTATAGCTTGTAACTCTAAACGTTAATGCAGTGAGATTGTGGTCACGTTTGTGTTTATGTGATCAATATCTGTCACTACTGTTCTGAGTGGTAACTATTATTTGTGTGTCATTGTATGATTACATTGTGTGTAATTTTATTAAATCCAAATAAAAGCAATTTTCTTTATTAGTCCTTAAACTGCAGTAAATATTATTGTCGGGTTGTACAACTGGATTACACAAAGGCCAAATCTGAGATTGAATCTGGCACAAAATAATGAGAGATGTTCTGAGGAAGGGTCACTCGACCCGAAACGTTAACTCTAATTTCTCTCCACAGATGCTGCCAGACCTGCTGAGTTTTTCCAGCAATTCCGGTTTTTGTTTCAGATAAACATATTCCCTCACCCCATGTGGTTAAGTAGGATTTATTTCTTCCTTTCTGGTACATGGTAAGTACTTGAGCAGCTCTTTAGCATAAATTGCCACAAATTTTCCTCAGTGAGGCCAGAAAACGTCTGTGTAAAACAGAAAGTACTCTTTGTGGTCAGCAAGTGTTGTTGCCTTGAAATTGAGGTAAAATGCGTTGTTAAACCTGGAGGAGCTTCAGTCTGCATCCAAGCTGATGTTGGACTGTTCTAAGCTAAGAGTGGATATTGAAACTGGAAACTCATGGACAAGAACAGACATTTGAAAATTGACCCCAGAAGCTGAAGAGTGAAGCAGCTGGTCACTTACCAGTGAGGACAGGGGTCTCAACAGTAAGGTTACAATAAAGTTTCTCATGAATACGACAAGCTTAGAGATTCATTCCCTTTAAGATTATAGTTTTGCTTAAAACACTATATACTACCATTATCTACAATCTGCGAGTACTTCCTTGGAAGTCAAGGTGCATTTTGAAGTTCAGCCAGAAAAACAATGACGAGGCATCATAATCAACATTCCAACATAGGATTTGAACAGTCCCTCAAACTACTGATCTCAAAATCTTCTTTAACATGATTAAAATTAATTAATTGTTCCTGCAGCTATTTCTGACATCTTTAATTAATGAGTCAGATTGGTGAGGCCGCACCATCACCCTCTTTGATTTTGGCGTACGTTGTATCAGGTCCCTTCAAAGTGCAATTTCATGCACCATTCCAACAAATTATGAAAGGCTGCATTATAAATGGGAATTTCTTTTGTGTTATTGATCAACACCCACAATAGTTCTGCACTTTTATATTTTAAATTTTTTGTTTTACTTTGCCAACTGGAATTGCAATTATTGTACTTTTAAAATGTATCAGATTTTGTTTGATTCATATGGTTAGTTTGAGCCTAAGTCATGCTGGAAAACTGAGAAGATTGAGTGCAACTCTACATGCCTGGCTTTACTTAATTCTCTCTCAATAAAATATTGGCCTGGGTACTATACTAGTGTCTCGCCTGATCCTGTCAGATTCCTGCCCAGTGAATTTGGTTAAAGTTACCATCTACAATTTTACCCTTGACATTCTATGTTGAGTGATTGGAGGCTGCAGCGATTTCTTGCAAAAATATAATTATATTGTATAATTATCTTCAGTTTGTTCAAATGTCCAAGTGGGATTCCCCTCACTAATCTAAATAAGAACATTTCAGAAGAATGCAATTGTCAAAGGTTCCTTTCATGCTTATGACTTGATTTTGAAATACTTGATGACCATTCTTGCAAATAGAATCAAAGCATCAAAATGCCACAGACAGAGGTTGTTCAAGCTCATTGTGTCTCTGTTGGCTCTTAGAAAGAGCTATGCAATTTGTTCCATCCCCAGCTTCCTCCGTTAGTGTTAAATACCAAACATTAAATGCTAGTTTAATTTCTACTCTCACTCCACAAACTCCAACGCACAGGCTACTTGATGCCTATAAAACACCCAGTCAAGTGTTCACCCAATTATCCCTGAGTTAATAGCTAATATGATCCACAGCTCCATTTGGTCCCAGGCATCCCTGCCAGCCCTGAATGGATGGTAACAGCTACCTATCCAATTCTCTCTCAGACCTACTTCCATCAGTTTCTCCGGTGGTATTCCAGGTCATCATAACTTTTTTGCACAAGTTGCAAATTTTACTTCCCCTGAAACACTTACCAATGACCTTAAATCTGTGTTCTCTAGTTACTAACTCTACTGGAAATAATTTTTCCCTATGAAATCTATCCAAGTCCCTCATAATTTTGAACTCCTCCAATAAACCTTACTTTAATCTTCTCTGCTTTAAGGCAGACAATCCTAGCCTCCCCTTGCCTCTCCACATAACTGAAGATTTTGATTTGATTTGGTTTGATTTATTATTGTCCCATGTACCAAGATACAGTGAAATGTATTGTTTTGTGTGCTTACCTGACAAATCATCCCTTATATAACTACATCAGGGTAATAGAACAGAATGCAGAATATAGTGTTACAGCTATAGAGAAGGTGTAGAGAAAAATCAACTTTATTACATGAGAGGTCCACTCAAAAGTCTGATAACAGCGGAGAAGAAACTTCCATGAATCTGTTGGTACTTTTGTATCTTCTGCCCAATGGAAAAGGGTGGAAGAGAGTATAACTGGGGTGGGTGGGGTCTTTGATTACATTGGCTGCTTTTCTGAGGCAGTGCGAAGAATAGATGGGAGTCAATGGATGGAAGGCTGGTTTGTGTGATGGTCTGGACTGCATTCAGAACTCTATGTAATGTCTTGTGGTCTTGGGTAGAACAGTTGCCATACTACACTGTGGTGCATCCAGATAGGTTGCTTTCTATGGTGCATCTATAAAAATTGGTAAGAGTCATTGTGGACGTGCCGAATTTCCTTAGCCTTCTGAGGAAGGAGTGATGGGCAGCATGGTGGCTCAGTGGTTAGCATTGCTGCCTCGCAGCGCCAGGGACCCAGGTTTGATTCCACCCTTGGGCGACTGTCTGTGTGCAGTTTGCACATTCTCTCCGTGTCTGCGCAGGTTTCCTCCGGGTGCTCCAGTTTCCTCCCACAGTCCGAAGATGTGCAGGCTAGGTGGATTGGCCATGCTAAATTGCCTGTAGTGTTCAGGGATGTGTAAATTAGGTAGGTTATAGGGGGATGGGTCTGGTGGGTTGTTCTGAGGGTCAGTATGGATTTGTTGGGCCAAATGGCCTGTTTCCACACTGTAGGGATTCTATGATCTATGTTGATGGTCCCAGTACCATTGTAGCAAATCCACTGAGAACATAGGAACAGGATCAGGCCATTGAGCCCCTTCAGCCTATTCAATAAGACCATGGCTGATCTGTGGAGTAACTCCATACACCTGCCTTTGGCCCATAGCCATTAATACTTTTACTGAACAAAAATTTAACTATCTCAAATTAAAAGTTAAAACCAATCCTGCATCCATTGTCATTTGTGGAAGAGAGTTCCAAACCTCTACTACTCTTTGTGTGTAGAAGTGCTTCCTAACATCTCTCCTGAATGGTCTGGCCCTAATTCTCAGACAATGCCCCCGAGTTCCAGAATCCCCCAAAATAACGGAAATAGTTTATCTTTATCTACCCCATCTTTTCCTGTTAATATCTTTAAGGCATTGATCAGATTACCCCTACACCTTTTAAATTCTGGAGAAAAAAGACTTAATTTGTGTAATTTCTCCTCATAACATAACCCCTGAAGTCCAGGTATCATTCTTGTAAGCTTACGTTGTACTCCTTCCAAGGTCAATATATCCTTCCTAAGATGTGGTGCCCAGATCTGCTCGCACCACTCCAAATGGGGTCTAACCAGGATTTTGTATAACTGCAACAATTCTCACAGATTAGTTACAATAGAAACCATGTATATTACAATGCACTTGTGATTTATGTCTTGCTTTCGGTTGGTGGTAATATCAAATATTACATCAGGTTATTCTGATTTGTTCAATTTAAACTGGGATCTTCACATCCAACACAGAAGGACACTATGTGCCTTTGGAAACCTCTTATGGCATAATTTCACCCATTATGATTCTATAGGCTGACACTGAAATAGTACCTACACAGGTTAGGACTGTTTTACTCACCTGCGTGTAGAAACAAAAGGTACGTTACAAATCACTGATACGCAACAAATCATTGCTTATTTTAACCAGAAGGAACAAACTTATTATTCAAGTTGCACTTAACACAGGTTAAAGTCTGTCAACATTAGATGTGATTTCCTGCTTCATCTTATCTTCACTAAACTATCAAAACCGGTTTAACTTAATGCCAACGTCATGGTCTATTGCAGTGATTAACAAGCACTGCACATCTTGCCAAAAAATCTGTAACCATGGAATACAATACCACTTGCATTTCATTAAATCATAATTGGTTCCAGCAGTCATGGGTTATTGAATGAAGATAAACTACACACATACATTCCTTACTGAGCTGAAGAAACACAGGGAGTCACAACCTGTTAAAGAGTCTTGTTGCACAATCATATTCTTAATTCTATGAACAAAAGAGTATCACCAACACCTTTTCAACCTTTGGCATTAATAAGATAGTCAACATAAAAAACTTTGTTCAAGAAAGAGGATGAATTTGGTCAATCATGGACCAATTTGTTTCATGTGGGCAACCCATCAACTTCTAAACTTCAAGATGAGTGTTTCCTCAACTCATAAGAACATAAGAACTAGGAGCAGGAGTAGGCCATCTGGCTCCTCGAGCCTGCCCCGCTATTTAATAAGATCATGGCTGATCTTTTTGAGACTCAGCTCCACTTACCCGCCCACTCACCATAACCCTTAATTCCTTTACTGTTCAAAAATTTATCTAGCCTTGCCTTAAAAACATTCAGCGAGGTAGCTTCAACCGCTTCACTGGGCAGGGAATTCCACAGATTCACAACCCTTTGGGTGAAGAAGTTCCTCCTGACCTCAGTCCTACATCTGCTTCCCTTTATTTTGAGGCGATGCCCTCTAGTCCTACTTTCACCTGCTAGCGGAAACAACCTCCCTGCCTCCACCTTATCTATTCCCTTCATAATCTTATACGTTTCTATAAGATCTCCCCTCATTCTTCTGAATTCCAATGAGTATAATCCCAGTCTAGTCAGTCCCTCCTCATAATCCAACCCTCTCAACTCTGGAATCAACCGAGCGAATC